TGGTGTTGTTGTTGTTGTTGTTGTTGTTGTTGTTGTTGTTGTGGTCGTTGTCGTTGTCGTTGTCGTTGTGGTTGTGGTTGTGGTTGTTGTTGTTGTTGTTGTTGTTGTTGCTGTTGCTGTTGCTGGTGCTGTTGCTGTTGCTGTTGCTGTTGCTGTTGTTGTTGCTGTTACTGTTGTTGTTGATGTTGTTGATGTTGATGTTGTTGTTGTTGTTGTTGTTGTTGTTGTTGTTGTTGGTGGTGGTGGTGGTGGTGGTGGTGGTGGTGGTGGTGTTGTCGGTGGTGGTGTTCTTCTTGTAATTATTGCTATTATTGTTCTCGCTCTTTCTATTGTTACTGTGTTTCTTGTTGTTGGTGTAGTAGTTGTTGTTGCTGCTGTTGTTGTTGTTGTTGTTGTTGTTGTTGGTGGTGGTGGTGGTGGTGGTGGCGGTGGCGGCGGCAGTGATGGTGATGTCGTTCTTTTGTTGTTCAGATTATTGACGAGGATGTTGACATAGACATACATCTACATATGTATACGTACATATGCAGTTGCAAGTGCAGTTCGGCACTTCTTGGTAGAATAACTGATTGCACAATACAGTCTGAGAGCAAATTGAAATGTTTGATATAAGTATGAGTGGTCAGGTGCAGGTATGCTAGTAATGACATGTTCATGCATGTCGCTGCACATCGGTCAGGACATTAAGACTGCTCGTCCTAGTGCCATCTGAACCTCCCTGCAGATCACCCTAGCCCTCAAAAGCGAAAGCACATCCTGACCCCATTAAAGCTATCTCTCAACCGTACACCCTCTGTCTGTAGGGGCCACAGGCGCATTATGACCTGTCAAACGAGATGTTTGGCCTCTTCTTGAGCAGTGACATGACGTACTCTTCCGGCATTTTCGACAAGGACCATTAGCTTTAGCATACACGGGTCTTCACGGTTTTATTTGGTGGATGAAGTTTGGGAGGGTCAGCCAGGAAATTTGCTTTGCAAACATACTCTTTGTCACATGTGTTTCAGTTGGATAAAAAGTTCTTTGGCAAGCTCGTGTCGCAAGACCTTTGAGAGAGCAGTGGATGCACCTTGTGCATCTATGCCTTCTACCTCGGTTTTTGGCCACTACTGAGTACATGCCCGTGGAAAATGTAATGCTCCGGTTGACAACAGCCCTAAATCGAGCATCTCTAGGCGACCAACAACAGTGAACGCTAAGCTGCTGCAGAGAGAACACCTCGTCTCACGCAGGACGTCCGGGAGCTTGAGGTGTCGACTCCATTTCCGGCAACCCGGCTTTTGAGTGTTTTGGGGTTTGGGCAGATCTTGCCTACGCTATGCCCCTAACCCTCCAGGTACCTACTACATAGGGCCCTTATAGGGGCTCTAGTAGCCTCTATAGTAGGTACCTGGAGGGTGAGGGTATGCCTTTGGGCCCCTAAACCGTAAATCCTAAACCCAAAAAATCCTAAACCCTATAAATCCTAAACCCTATAAACCCTAAACCCCATGCCTTTGGGCTTCCCTTGGTTTGCTTAGATTTCGTATCCTTCTGCAAAAAAACTCCGTCGCCTTGGAGCTCCCCGGGTTGAGAGAGGTCCACCCCCAAAGGAGGTACCCTACCTAGAGTGGGGATCAGCAGTTGGAGTTTGTTGGGATTTCGGGCTTTGGGTTTTGGGCTTTGGGGTTTTAGGGTCTTGCGGTTTTAGGGTTTTAGGGTTTCGGTGCTACCTATAGTCTCCATTGTAGTTCCTTTTTTTGGTTTAACCAATTATATATTAAGGAATGTATAAGGTATCCCCAAAAAGGAACTACTATGGAGACTATAGGTAGGGCTCCAGTCACCTAAATAATGGGTATACGGGATTAGTAACCTACTATTCGGGTAACTGGAGCCCTAAGGGAAAGCAGCCAGTAACCACTTCGTCGGCAGTTCCCTTTTACGTAATGTTCATGTTGCTCTGGCATCTATCATCCCGATCATTCAAAACAGAAGTACAGCGGTTGCTCGTAAGATGGGTGATGCTAGCAGGCCATGTGCTGTCATGTTTCTACTACTTACCTACGTCTGCACTGCCTTGCTCCGTGCTCAGGAGCGTGTCGATGGTGTCAAGGACTTCCTGGAGCTCGCACAGCAGAGGTCGGGGTGCTTAACAAAGGCAAAACAGCAAACTAGTAGTACTGTAGGGTGAGCAGCTGTATCTTGGCAGTAATGGCGCAGTATCCGAAGCAGCTGCAGCAGGAGGGGGAGTAGGACTAGCAACAACTAGTATCAGTAGCTGCAAAATATATTGGAGAAGCGAGCCCTTGAGGAAGATGGACCGTTTGCTAGACCTCATCGATCTGAAGCCTGGCGATCAGGCATGGCTAGGGGTTTAATGTAGGGGCCTGAATAATTACCTATACTATCTTGGGGGCTCCCTGTTATAATTATAGTATAATGGGCCCCAAAGCCCCATTCTAGTTATTAAGGCCCTTATTTAAGCGTTTTGGAGCAGTTCGGGGTTTGGGGGGCCAGGGCGTCTATGGGTGTAGCCAGAAGCCACTGCAGCGGCCTAGGGTTTGGGGTCGAAACCCCAAACCCTACACATCCAACGCAAGAAAAGCCAACGGGTCAGATGCTGTCAGGTGAGCCAGGGTCGTGCAATTCTTGTATAAGGTTCACAGGTTGGGATTACTGTCCAGTGTGCTGCTCATGTAGGGTTTAAGGGTTCTTGAGCTTCACGGTTTCTGTCGGGCGTAGGATCTAGAGTCTTCATCCATGCGGATTTGGTAGGATGTCTAATACAGCCCCCGGCCCGAAACCCCAGACCCTGAACCCTAAAGCCAAAAGAACCATACACCCTAAATGAAGTTAAAGGAAGCCTGTGCCCTATAAAGGTCGCAGACCCTATACATTGCCCTACATCCTGAGGCTCAAGACCATCTTTCTTGAAGCCATCCTGAGCCAACCCCGGGGCCCCCAAAAGCCTACTCCCAAACACGAAGCCTCGAACCTTGGAACCCTCAACCCTAAACCCAAAGAGTCCGAACAAAAACGTGCTTTGCTGGTGCCGAGGCTCGTATTTACTCAGACCCTAAACCCTAAACCGTAAACCCTAAACCCGAAAGGGCTCTGGGGCTTCCGGGGCTTTATTCAGCCTTCGGGGCTGGGGAAGCGAGTTGTATAGGGGCCTTCTTAGCTAGAATCGGATTGGGGGGGGTTTTAATGATAGTATGGAGAAAATCAGGAACCCGAAACAAGGATGTGGGCAATTATTCCAGCCTTGACAGTGTAGGGTTGAGGTCTTTGATGGTACAAGAGCTTTGGGGCTTGGTGTTTCAGGGTCAAGAACACTCCTCTTCTAAGCCTACAAGTCCCAAGGGCAGCCTTCAACCCCGCGTTTCCGCACTCCAAGCCTTTTCCACTGAGAGGTGTTGGAGGTCGGCTGTGGTTGGGGCAGCCTGGCCATCAGGCGCCCTAAGTTACCCTGGGCCTCGGTTGAGGCCTTGAGGTTACTGTATGTTACTGTCAGGGTTTAGGGTTTGGGGATTAGGGTTTAGGGTTTAGGGTTGGTTTTGGGGGGTCAGCGTTTCAGGGTGTATGAAAGACGAAAGCGTGGAACAAGTGATCCTATTTCTTTGCGGAAGGCCTTCATGGAACCTCACGCACGTGGTGTGCTTGCTTTCTAGCCTACAGAGTCCTAATCCGGACGTTGTTCCAAACCTTGAACCAGTCAGACCCCCAAACCCCAAACTCTACGCCCGAAATGTTTCTTCACTTGCCTGTTTCATGAGTTCCCCGAAGACTACCCACTCGCAGGCTCAGAACATGAAGCCCCTTATATAGACTAAGAGTGGCATCCTTATGATGATGACCCCCAGATACGCGACCCCTAATTGCAACAAAAGCTGCTGAATGCATACGAAACCTTCTAACATAAGAACTTCTGGAACCATGTAAAAACTGTTACCTACAGGTTAAGAACATAGTGAGCTCATACATACATACATACATGCATGCATACATACAGACACATACACCAGCTGCTATGAGGGCGGCGAAGCGCTGCCCAGAAATGGCTGGCTGGACGGCCATCACGCTCTCAAGGCCGTTGTAAGCTGGTCGTTCTGTGATAAGGGTTGTATGAGCTGTAGTTAATATGTTGGCTTTTGAGGGCGGTGTCTTCTGTTTTTGGATTGGGGTTTTCAGGGCTTCAGCTTTCTAGCCTCCCTGCGCTCGGAGTTTGTGGAGGCCTTCAGCATGTTTATGGGCGGGAGGTCCCGTATTGCGGGTTCCTAGCTGCGGCAATCATCATCATCAGAGTTGTAAGCAGCCTGAGCGGTGTTATGATGCTCAACACCTTACTGTTCAACCTATTTCATCTCAACTCAAGATCTCACGTGACATGCTTGCGGAGGATTGTCCATGTTGCTACAATCGAGGCTGCGCGGATGATTGCGCAACTGCCTTCAGAGCTATTCAACTGACAGAAGGAATTCTTGGAAAAACTTAAGGGGTCGAAGCGGCATTGCAATCCACAATGGGTGTGTCAGAAGCAACTGCAAGTATCTTATATGATTTCTAGCCACGGTCCGACGAGTTCAAGCACAAAAATAAGCTGACGACTCCATGGCCTGCCTTCCCGATGCGAGCTGCCAGCGCGTGCACCCGCGTGCTGTGTGGCACTTGCGTGCCTCGGCAGACCAAACTCCAGTCAGTGGTCCGGGCTCGGCAGCGTCCGCCGGCCTTATCGGTGGCGTGGCCGGAAACAGAATTGTATGTTTTTGAGCAGTCATTTTAGCAGACGCACTGGACCTTTCACTAACAGAAAGCAGTTTTGTCTCGCGTGTTCCGAGTTACCTTTCGACCTCCGCGCGTTGCCTGATTGAAGAATCTCTCCTGTGAAGGTGGCATCGCAGTTGCTGTGGCGCACCCCCTGCGACCCAGGGCCAAGCATGCTTCCACTCGGAAGAGAGCCGGGAGGGTCCCGGGTCCGAGATCTTGCTGTGCCCAAAAGGCAACGACTGCTCAAGGTGGGAGTTTCCGAAAATTAGGGGTACCTCATTCTGGGGTCCTTATAATAAGGATCCTACCATTTAGGGTACTATATTAGGGTCCCCTATTTTCGGAAACCCCCAGGTGGCGAGGACTCAGAGAAGGACGACAGTTTGGCGTTCTTGACGGATGAGAAGCAGCTGGATGCGCAGATTTGGACACTGGCCCTTCCGGCCTTCATAGCCCTTTGTGCTGAGCCTCTGCTGTCGATCATCGACACTGCCTTCGTCGGCCGCCTGCCTGATGCTGCCTTGAGTCTGGGAGGGCTTGGTGTCTTGGCCGAGGTTCGCAAAGCTGTTTGTGTTCTTCTTATGCATGGGTTTCACCGAGAAGATGCAAAGCAATTCTCGGCAATGTCCCGCCAGTAGGTGCGGCTACTTCGGTTTTCGACTTCGTCTTCCGCTGCTACAACTTCCTCTGTGTGGTTCTGGTCCCTTTGGTTGCCGAGGCCGTGATTGCGAAGAAGCGGGGAGAAGCCACAGAGGACTGAAACTCCCTCAATATAAGGGCCTTAATGATTAGAATAGGGTTCTGTGGCCCATTATACTCGGAACTTCCAAATAATACCATTGGTAATTATTTAGGCCCCTATGTTAGTTTCTTCTTGCAGGGCAAAGGATGCTTTACGCCTTGGCCTAAGGGGAGAACCTGCAAGCGGTCGCGGTCGCCCATATCAAGTCCTAAACCCTAAATCCCTAAACCATGAACCCTAAATCCCTAAACCATAAACCCTAAATCCCTAAACCCTAAACCCAGGCCCCAAACCATGGAACAGAATTGCTCCTAGCCGTCAGCCCGAGACTTTACGCAAAACTCAAATATGGCAACAACCCAGCAAGTCAGTGTGGTACACTGGCAATCGGTACATCTGTTGTCATGCTTAATGTAAGGCTTAGGTGCTTGTCTTCAGAGTTTCAGTCAGAGTCACAAGTGACAGCAGCACCCCACCATTTGTACTCGTGCCACCAGTAGCACCACCACCACGACGTGGTGCTGCTGCGGCTACCCCTGCGGCTGCTCTAGCTGCTGCGGCCCCTTACTGTTGCCTATGCTTCCCCTCCTACTACTGCTGCAAAAAGTCAGCTAGTCGTTATGAGCGACAAGACACATTGAGAATGGTGCAAACAACCTTTGAGCACATAGTTGTAGCAGGGCCAGCAGCAATGTAATATCCAGGCTTCTGCTTGCACATCTGGGCATCATATGGGTAGTTCCTATATTCGTGACCTAAAAAGGACCCTCATATAGAGAACTACCCATATGCAGTTAAACAGCACCGACCAAGATCGAAAATACTCAACCCTGGTAGAAGGACAGTATGCGGACACAGCATGATTAGCCAGAAGCCCCAAACCCTAAACCCCAAACCCAAAACCCTAAACCCTAAACCCTAAACCCCAAACCCTAAACCCTAAACCCTAAACCCTAAACCCCAAACCCCGGCCCAAGGCCCCTAAAAGCAGGACCCGGCGGACATTGTCGGCCGAGTGATCGGGCTGGCGGCTGCTTTGGGTTTCTGGCAGCAGTAAGGGTTTAGGGTTTAGGGTTTAGAGTTTAGGGCTTTAGGGGTTTGTGGGGTTTAGGGCTTCCGGGTTAAGGGGTTTAGGGTTTAGGGGGTGTAGGAGTGCTCTTTCTGGGTTTGGATCCACAAAACCGGCTTTTCGTGTGGCTTAGTACTTAGGGCTAGGAAAATGCATCTGCTCACAAGGGTTTGCCAGTAGTTTGTAGCTTTGATGGTTGTCCTCCCGCACTGCGAAGTTGCAGTGAGAGATCCCTCCCTGTTCTACATCGCTACTGAAGATTCTGGTGTAGTTAGGGTTTAGGGTTTAGGGTTTAGGGTAGCATCGAGCCATGCTGGCTGCATACAGTGCGAGTGTCTTCTCGGTTTGACAGCCGAGGCTTCCTGACCTGGGCCCTGATTGCCTTCGGCTCTCAGAATGTCCTCGCACCTCGTCCGGTCGATGTTTGTGTTCTGAAGGTGCTGCTTCAGTTGCTCTCTCCTGTGCATTGGTAAGCTTCATTGATTTGGCAGGTCTCGTACTATACTTTACGGGTGCAGGTTTGCTGTCCACTATAGAGCGGCTGTTACTCCTTTGGAAGTGTTGCTGGTCTACTTCCTGCACTTGCATGCGCCAGTCGAAAATCTTCAATACTAGCTGTGAAGGCCATCCTACCGGGGCCTTATAATTTGCTTTAATGAATACCTATAATATTTTTGGGGCTCCTTATTAGGATTATAGTACAATTTACTCCAAAGCCCTATTCTAATTGGTAAGGCCCCTACATTACATGACAATCAGGAGCTTGCCGGTGTTTCCGCTGGCACGAGCCTGGGGACGGTTGCCGACGGATATCTCCGCATTCGAGCCACGGCGCTGCCTGCCAGCCTCGTTAACACCGTAGCTGTGGGCGCTTTCAGAGGCAGGATGGGTTTAGGGTTTAGGGTCTAGGGTTTAGGGTTCAGAGGCAGGATGGGGCTTTCAGTTCTTTTTGTGGTGGACGGCTGTGTGTAGACAATTTTTTCAATTCAGAATAGCTCGGGGCCTTGGCATGCCATGTCATCATGTCCCACATCACAGTCACAACAGTCGCGACTGTATACACCGCCTTTGTGTGGAGTTCCATTCTCAAAGAATGTTGGTTGTAAGATGCATGGTTTCAGGCCACTTGGACACCACCACACCACTGCTGGTTGTTCTGGTCCAGACCTTGTCTGATGTGGCCTTGGATGCGGTGTTTGTATACGGGGTGGCACCACTTGGCATACCGGCCATGGGAGTGGATGGTGCGGCTTGGGCTACAGCCTTGTCCATTTGGATTGCATGCATTTGCTTCGCGGTTCTTCTGTCACAGAGAGGCTATGTGGCTTGGAAGTCTGCTCTGTCCTGGCCTACTGCACTACAAGAGCTGCAGCCGTTGATTATTGGGAGCCTGTCGCAGCTCATCCGGACTCTTTCCCTGCAAGCAGTGCTGTTGGAATTCACGCGGACCGTGGTGGGTCTGGACGCCACGGGTCTTATTGCAGCCGCACATCAAGTGGGCCTTCGTGTTTGGTACTTTGCCCTCTTTGCCTTAGACTGCATTGCCGTGTCTGCGCAAGGCAGGGCGACGGTGAAACTTTGCATTTGGTCGTTGAGGGGCACTTCGAGGGCTGTGCCATGTTCGTCATATATGTTAAAGTTGACACATAAAGTAAGCTGCCAGGCCATGTCGGTTACCCGCAAGCTCTGCTTGCATAAACATACATACATGTCTCATACATGTATACTATACCTTACAACTATCAGATACAAAACGGGCCACCCTGGGAGTGCAGTTGCTTAGATGTTTAGCGGTCATTTCGCTGTCAAGGCAAGCCCAAGGTGAAAGCCATCTCAAGACTCAGTATATACATTCAGTGTATCATGTACCCGTACGTATATGACTTACATATTACTTAAAATACATATGGGAGTTTCAGAAAATTAGGGTACCTTATTTTGGGGTCCTTATAACAGGGATCCTATTAATTAGGGTACTATATTAGGGTCCCCTATTTTCGGAAACCCCCCATATGTCTTTATGCGCCGTGCCTACCCGGGCATCCTGGCAGCGAGGACTGGTCCCTGTGGCGCTGGCAACCGCCGGCGTTGCCAAAGCTCGCTGGGTCTCATCTCGCTTGCTGCTTTGGGGCGGGGTCGGCGGCACCCTGTCCGGCCTTCTGCTTGCCAGCCTAGCCAGCTCAATTCCTGCTTTGCACCTTGGCAATGATACTGGAACCGGCCTAGCACGCCTGATTTAAAGACTTGGGCTCGCATTTGCTGGGTTGTTGAGGTTCACGAACGACGAGGTCGTGGCGGCGACCGCAACTCCTTTGATCCTGACTCCTGGCGCATGTGACATTCGTATATACACAGTGGTGTGTTTCTTCGGTCAGAGCAGACTTGCAACGGCTCATGCGCAGAACTTGCCTGTAAAGGTGATCATGTGGAGGAGGACATACAATTAAGCACAGCATCGCGGCAAGCACTGATACTCACCGTATCAGTAGTGAGTGGCTTTGCTGTATCGTAATGGAAGACGAGGAGCCGAGAGTGAGATCATTGCAACAGCGGAATTAGCCGAGCAAAACGCATGGCCACTGCAAGGTCACTACCAACAGTCTCCAACAGCCAGCAAAACCCTAAACCCTAAACCCTGAACCCCTAAACCCCTAAACCCCTAAACCCTAAACCCTAAACGAAGGATTTGCATGCTCCTCGTAGCCAAAGGACCGTCGCAGCCTTGCAGCCGATTGCCGGGGTGGTGTTCACATGGGATGGTTGCGGCCTGAGTTGGACCCCCTGAGACGGTTTCGGGTTTAGGATTTGGGGTTTAGGGTTTAGGGTTTGGGGTTTAGGGTTTGGGGTTTAGGGTTTAGGGTTTAGGGTTTACACGTCCGAAGACTTAGAATCGAAGTGCCATGAGTTTTGTCCTGCTAGCATCTGCCTGTTCCGCCAGTATGTGGAAATTCTAACAACCGAGCCGGCTTCCTGCCTCTTCAAGTATTCGTGGAACCATGTCTCAGAGCCCAAACACCGTAATTTAATTGGTCGGGAAAATTAGCAAATTGTATTCCCTTATAATCCTGATATAGATATATTACACCATTCTAGTCATCGGGGACCCTAACTTCTCCTTAATTCCTAAGCAGATCCGAAGAGACTCTAAACCCTAAACCACTACACCCTACACCCTAAACCCCTAAACCCTAGACCCCTAAAGCCCTAAACCCTTAAACCCTAAACCCTATAAGCTCAGGACTCTTTCAGGGTCTCTCCGACTATGCCTACCTAGCCTTGGCCATGGCCGTGGCTGCTCTTGTCCCTTGGCTTTAGGGTTTAGGGCTTAGGGTTTAGGGTTTAGGGTTTTGGGCCTAGGGTTTAGGGTGTAGGGTTTAGGCAGTGGCTGCTCTTTCCCCTTGGCGTCTGGGCTTAGGACCACGGCGCGGAGCCCAGGTAGACGCATCTAATATAGGGGCCTCAATACTTACCTATATTATTTTGGGGTTTCCTTATTATAACTCTGCTATAATGGCCCCAAATGCCTGTTCTAATTATTAAGGCCCCTATATTCGTGTTCGTTGTGAACAGTTTTGCGAAACTCGTGTCGTTGACATTTCGAGTTTTGGGGATCATGCTGGTCAAAGTTGCAGGGCTTTGAACCCATATTCCCCTGGACTCACCAGCTCCTGACTCCTACACTCTTCTACATATGGTCTACAGCTAGTACATCAGGCATCAAGAAGCTGTCATGTTCAGGAGCACTGTAGTCAAACCTCTAACGCTTGGGAAAAATAGCTCAGGGAACGCGCCATTCCCCCAATTCTCTACCATAAAGACTAAAGTTCTATAAGTCATAGGCTCGCAACTGACTGAACTGATTTGTGGGACACGGTATAAACCGTAGCCGATGAGATCGCAAGTTTGCAGAGGCCCTGAATCCCTCAATTAAACGAGATGATACCTCTAATGGAGCCTACAAAGCCTATACAAAGCTCTACTTAGAACCTATCATAAAACCATACACAGCCTTGCAGAACCTGTAGCACAGATACAAAGCCTTCATGCAACCGAGAAGAAAACCGTGCCAGGCCGGTGCATATCCCTATCGACTCCATATAGATTTAAAGCTTTTCTGAGGTAACCCCGGAACCCGAAACCCCTGAACCCCTGCATAACCCCTACATAAACCCTAAACCCTAGACACCCCAAACCCTAAAGCCCCCAACCCCGAAACCCTAAACCCTAAAGCCCCCAACCCTAAAGCCCCCAACCCCGAAACCCTAAACCCTAAAGCCTCCAACCCCGAAATCCTAAACCCTAAACCCTAAAGCCCCCAACCCCGAAA